TCTATAATAACAATTATATATTACTAAATGCGGCGGCCATAAATGAGGTTTCAAGACGTTGGGTAATCGGCTTTCTTACTTTTTTTCATTCAATATAAATAGAAGAAGCTACATTTAACCTAACTTCCAAAACAGCGAAATGCATTCTATTCATTAAATCATATATTGCTATACTTTTTACATTCCTATGTACGTTTGTATTAAAATGTGTTAAGCAATTGGAAAGTTCCATGTTTCCTCGCGATGCGATAAAGTTACCAAATGTCCTCCTTTCTTGAAGACAATTTTCAGATTTTTATATTATTAATAGTAATTTGGAAACATTTTTAATACTCCGGTTTATATAGTACAATTTGTTAAACTGCGGAATAAAACAAAAAAATATATATATACATATATAAAATAAGTGAATAGAATTCTTCCATAAAAATATTTTAGTTGATTTGCGATGGTGGAAAGTCCACGTTAGAAGAAGTAATTAGTAGAACATAATCACGATTACATACCAAAATTTTTATTTTTTATTTTGATTGTGACAGATTCTGTGTACTTTGCTAGCAAGATTTGTAGCAAATCTATACATGATATTTCTAAATGTAAAAGTAATATAACGATGATCATTTCCGACAAGCATTCTGTGTAATTTTAAATAAAAGATCTTGAAATAACATAATCAAAGAGAGCGAATTAAGGAACAATAACAAATTTGCATATACAATTGCAGTGCGATTACGATTCATTCAAATAAAATTATTCAAATCGCTTGATTAGCCCACATAGCGAAAGGCCTTCATGAGAAATTTTCTGTAACGACATATTCGCCAATGCAACATTATTAAATTATCTCTTGTTAGTATAAAGAGTTAAGTAAAAAGTTCGTGTTGTATACATAACGTGTATTTGACACACAGATAAATTTTTGAAAGTTTCTACAGAAACTAAATTTATACAAATTTAACCGATAATTTCTTTAAATAATTTCCTTATATTGTCATCGTTTGTATTTTGTATGAAGTCTTTTTAAAAAAATCTAATAAAAAAATTTGATAATATTATCTAAATAATTTGAATTAATTAATAATAATAATTTAATATATTATTTAATTTATTCTATAAGTTAGACGATGTGAATAAAATTAAACAAAAAGTTTATATATTTTAATAAAAAATTTTAAAGTATAAATTAAAAAGATTTCACAGCCGTTTGAATAACTTAAATATTTTAAATTGAATATTTCACATAAAATACAAATAGAATTGTTTAAGGTAATTCTTTAATAAAGTTTTGGGTGCTTCATCCATCAGAGGAACGTCGAATGACTTGTCGCTCAGTGCGATTCGCGATCTGTGGATCCAGGTTTGATCCTATGTCTCGCAAACGCGATTTTTCATGTTCACCATTTTCGAATTCGGCATTAAACTTTGAATATAATTCCCTCGAGTGTTGATAAACTCTAGAGAGTAAGAATACAACTACTATTAAATACAAAAACATAAGCGAATCTCTGTCCCCGAAGAAGCTCTAAAACTGATACGCATAGCTCTAAAGCAAAAACTGGAAATCTGTTATCACGGAACATAGAGTCGATTGTGGACATGAATTTGAATGGAAAAATCCATCATCTTAGATAAAGAAAGATATCTGAGAAAAAGACTCGTTAACGATATGTTTCACATCAAGTCACAAGAAAACAGTTTAAATTTAAAAAACCACCGATACTGTGAGTTCTTACGCCATGTTTATCCATCTCAACATTTTAAATAAAATTTGACTCATAGTGACATATTTAATTTAATTTAATTTATTATAGTTGATTATCTACATACATTTTTAAACCATGACTTCTTTTTGACACTGTAAAGATAATCTGTTTGTTATTCGATAATGTTTCACTGTTCATGTTTCACACAGCATGACTCATGCTGTAATTGTCATTTCAAAGTTATATTCAGTAAGCGCAAGTTCGCTTAACGATTTATCTCAATCCATATTTCTCCTTGAATGTATTTAATGTGTAATTCGAAGATTGCAACAAATGAGTCTTTTGAACATTTTTATTTATAACATCGTTTAATAGATTAATTCAGTACGTCATTCATTAGTAATCATTTAGCTGCTACTAATTGAAAAAGAGGTTCCACAATGATGAAATTGAAGAGGCTCTCTATGCTGCATTCTTGGAATTGATTGTAAGTGCGAATGTTGAAACTAATATTTGAACATCATTGATGACTCGAACGAAGCCGAAATGTTCGATTTTGTATAAACATATGTAAGATCTACGAAATATAATTTTTATATATAATGCTCGAAGAACTATGTCACATTTATGCTCTCAATCGCCTGTATTAATTTTTAATTATATTTATTTGATATGCATGGTACTGTGATCCAATAGATAGAGTCTGGAAACCAAACAGGGAAATTTATCAAATTAAGACCCATCAGAGCCCACACAAAATTATAAATATCATAATTTGAATAAAATATTAAAACTACGTGTATATCTTAATAAAATATAATATGAAACATACATTAGTAACACATTGCCAGGTCTCTAGATTTCGAGACCAATCTTCAGTTCTCCAATAAATAAAAAAAATCTCCAGTTTTTCGTTCGCGTGGGATATTTATTAATTGCATATTTAATTACGTGGAAAGTAATAAGAAAGTGATTATGTTCGCAGTTTATGTTATTTTATGAAATAAAAATTTATAATTGTGTTCGCACTGTACATATGTATGTAATCTCTGGAAAAAATGTAAAAAATGTAAAAAAAAAATGTAAATGTTAAAAAAATGTTAAAAATGTAAAAAAAAAAGGCGTCAAGTATATTTTGCAGAAAAAAGATACCAAAGATAATGCCATAAAAAAAGAAGTGAAATTAAAATATATTTCAAGTATCTCTGTTTAAAAAATCTCATAGAACACAGTGCTCTAAGCGGCATCTTGAAAGCATCCTTACAATGTAGGTATCTAAAGGATACCTTTAAGACAATGTTGTATGGAATAATTTCTCATAATTATAATATACTACACAAAGTACGAATGACATTTGAAGTATATCAAGTATAACAACACATTAAAATGAGAGAACGAAATGCAATAGATAGCATAATGAGAGATGCAGAAACTGAAAAGGAATTTTTACATCGATAACAAGTAGAAAATTGTAAAGATAAAAAATCGAAAATAAGCAAGATCTCCAGCAGCAGAATACTTGACATGCCCGTATTGTTTATAATCGTAATTTAAAATGAAAATTGCTAAAACAGTCGTTCGCACCTGACTTGTCAATAGTACATAGATTTTCGATTTTTTATTTCTATAATTTTCTACTTGTTATCGATGTAAAAATCCCTTTTTAGTTTCTGCGCCTCTTATTACGCTGTCTATTGCATTTTATTCTCTCGTTAATGTGTTGTAATTTAATACACTCTTTTCAAATGTCATTCGTACTTTGTGTAATATATTATAATTATGAGAAATTATTTCATACAATACTGTCTTAAAGATATCCAAAGGAGACCTACATGATAAGAATGCTTTCAAGATGCCGCTCGGAGAACTGTGTTCTATTTTAAATAGAGAATACTTTTTATTTTAAATAGAGGAACTCTTTTTAAATAGAGAAATATTTTATTTTAATTTCATTTCTTTTTTATGGCATTATCTTTCATATCTTTTTTTTGCAAAATATACTTGACATCTTTTTTTTACATTTTTAATGTCTTTTCCGGTAAATTTCACAAATTTTTGCTAAGTATTAGTTTCATTATCATTTTCATATATTTATAAAATGATTTGATGTAAAGATATTGTAAAATATATTTGATGTCTTTTTTTACATTTTACATATCTTCTAAGTTATTTCATTTTAATTGTAAAAATCTATGTTCTTTCCCAATACATGCATTTTTTTATAACATCAATTTGTTAAACAAAACAATAATTTTTAATTATATAAGCGAGTTCCTGTAAAGAATACGCTGTAGCGTCTCTTTCATGAACATGATATATTATGTACTATAATAATATACTTGACGAGAGACGTTACAGCGTCTCCTGATCTTGTAATAATAATAAAATCTCTATGATTGTGTTGACACTTTATCTTGATCAAATATTATTATAAATATTAACAAAAAAAAAATCTGTAACAGTGGTCGCAAAACACGAATTAAACCTTGTACTTTTTTGTCTCTTTTTTTTTTTAATGAAACAGTCGGCCCTCCAGAAATATGAAATCTCCAGCTCCTTCGAGCTCCAGCCGTACAGTGCTCAAGACTTAGGGCCCTATTCTTGAGCTATATAAATAATTTTTGCATATGAAAATGATAATTTCTCGATTATGATTCGTCGATATTTTCGTATGCAATATTTGTTCAAGAATAGGGCTCTTAGCAACCGTGAATAGTAAATCAAAAGCTGCATCTTCACCAAACGAAAGTTGACGTTTATTTTTCGAGATTATAAACATGCAAGTTTATGCATGTAAATATCTTTCCAGAATGGCCGCTAACTACTTTTTTGTGACTATTACAAACATAATTTTTTAAACACTATTATAATCTCATTTTTAGAGAAGTCTATAATAAGGTATGATAATATAATATTCATGTGCAGTTTAGTCAAAGAAGCGTCTCTAATCCTTATCTATCACTAAGTTATACATTAAAAGTTATATTTTCTATATTTCAACATTTTTTTTTCTTATTTTATCTTTAACCTACCTTAGAATTTTGCACACGTCAAGTTCATTATATAAAGTAATATTAGACATTTCTATGGTAATTTGATTTATTAAAGAACTACTAAAGAATCACCTTAAAAAATCATTAATTGTCAGTTAACTTCACCTGAGTCAATTATGAAACTTTTTTCTTAAGATGAAAAGTGAGAAGTGAAAAATTTTTCCATTAACTTCAATAGTTAAAATTTTCACTTTTCACTTTTTATCCTAGAAATAAAGTTTCATGATTGATATCCTGAATTCATCCGCTGTCAGAAAATTCGCAAAAATACCTCCGATTGACTATTAGCAGTATTGAAATGTTGCCACGCCACCTGTCAACGAATACACACGTATGTACAGTGCAGTGCATTAATTCGCTGGGTCACAGTAGCGGCCCAACTTATCGAAAATAAGAAAAACGCAGTACTAAAAAGTTAATAAAAGTTAATAAAAGTTGATAAAAAATTCTGAAAAAATTCGTAGAGTTCTATGAGAAGAAAATAAATGATTTTTGTCTCTTGCAGTTTTTCTGTAAAATTGATATTTGAGTATTTGAGTAAAAAATAAACGTCGATAAGTCGGGCCGCTACTATGACCCAGCGAATTAATGAACTGCAGTGCACATACCACACATACATACATATACCTGTATCACATGCACTGTGCAAAAGTCCGTTCGCGAGCGCTTGTCACGCTCGCCGGAAGGTTAGATCCTGATGATTAAATCGAGCCGGACTTCATAAACACGCGATACAACGGGGCGGTAGCGGCGCCTCAGAATTTTCATCTTTTTACGTAGGATGGAGGAGATCGACAATATAATAATTCACTCGTTGCGACAAATAGGCTGGTAAGTGTCCAGATTCAGCAGCTCCGATCGGTTCGCCACTAGTTTTTTTCCTTGCGGCGGCGATAAGGTGGGCGGTGTTTCGACGATATCCTCGCGAATAGGAGTATCACGCACGTGAGCTCATCGGCACGATCATTTCTTTTGACATTGAATCGTTTATTTCAAAATAGACGAAAATTATTGAATGTTAATATTAAGAAAAATATCAATATGACATAAAAAGCCTTATAAAAATAAGAATGACATAGATACCTTCTTCTTGTTTTGAAGGAACTCCAGAAGATGCCACAAGTCGCCTATGATTCCTACATTTCTTACAGTTCGCGAGATATCTTATCTTATAAATATAAAAATGAAATAGACGATATCTTCTCTATCTTCTTGCCTTAGAGAAATTTTATAATGTGCCACAAATTGATTATATGTCTATTTTTATAGCTGAAATAAAATGAAATAGATACCTACTATCTTTTCGCTTTAGATAAATTTTATAATATATCATAAGTCTCTCGAGTATAAGTCTGTTTTTTTTTATAGCTGAACTAGTACGCACTTTTTTTATTTGAAGTGAAATAGATATTTGGCAAAAGCCAGAAGAAAAATTCTAATGTAGTGATAAAAAACAAACCTCTTGACTCTTGTGTTTCTTAGTTCCTTGATTATTACAAGTAAATTTCTTTTTAGTGACATTGAAGAGAACGTAACGAATCTTAGTAGCTTTAACACTGAACTAGTTGTGGAAGCCACTGTAAGATGCTTAGAAGCAATAAGGCCAGGTTTAGGTTTGTCTATTGTATTACCTATAAACATGGCAGCGCGCTTTCGACTGGGCGCTACTCTTGCACAAACGTGCATGGTAAATATATTTTGTCTTAGACCAAAACATATTCATATAGTTTTGCTTATTTCCATTACCTGATCAAAATTATAGGAGCTTGGATACAGAGGTGACATCGGCTATCAGACATTCCTATATAACTCAGAAGCAGATCTACGAAGAGTATTTATGTTTCTCATTGAAAAACTGCCAAAGGAGAGTGAGAAAACCGTAAACGAATCTATCAGTAAAGTCGCTTTATTAGAGAAATCGGTAGCATCTGCAATATCCCAAGGACTCTCCATACCATGGTTACCACATTATTGTCATAAACAGGGTTTCAGGAATAGAGGAAGAGCGAATGTCCCTTATGTGTCTGTAAATCTCGAAATACCAATAGCAAATATCGAAGATGGTAATGCAATATTAATATTACTTGAATTACTTTTGCCAGACAATGTTAATACAAATGACGACCGTTATTATTGCAGATTATAAAGACTATTGTATGCGCTATTTACAACCAGTGCCTGAACAAATGCAAGACATTGCGTGCTTTTTACCTTCAATGATATCGTACAATGCAAAAACGCTTAATACTTCTCCGACAGATATTATGGAACGCATAAATTGGCTTAATAGCCAACATTCTGAAAAACCTGTTTATTCTAATGCGTTTAATATTGTCAAAGAATTTAGCAAATTCTCGTCAGAGAACAAGACACAAACTTCAACAGTAAGCATACAAGATACTCTTATATAGCTAATTATTAGTTGCTTTCCGTTTTCATAAGTGATACTGAATCTAAAGTTATACAAGTATTTTATACTCAGATAATGACGTCAGCACTCGCTTACATTTTTATTTACCTAACAAGACAAGTTTATAATTTCACTTAATTTAATAAGAATTAACAAGACTGAATAAAGCACACAGTTAAGCCTCACTTGTCAGAATGAAAAGGAACCTACATTCAACTGAGTTATGACATCACAAATAAGAATTATCTAAATTTTGATGTAAATGGAAAATAACTATTATATATCTTACATATTCATTATGATCATTAAATTTTTAGGAATCTCAGGTGAAACTAGAATCTGCAATGCATCCAGTGCTTCCAGATCAAGAAACATTAAGAAATCAGGCGAAACAGGAAGTTGAAACAGAAAAGATGAAAGCAGAATGCGAAAGTCTTAGAATAAATATAGAAGAATTACAAAACGAAATTAAAAAATTGACCACCAGATTAGCTCAAGCAACAATAACTGGCCAAAATGAAGAGAAGGAATTAAAAATCAATGAAGAACAAAAAAAAATCAAAGCAAAAGCATACGAACTCCTTCAAGATGGGCCAGAGAATGTAAAGAAATTGGAATCTGCAATTGAGGCTAGCACAAGCAAACTGATTAATTTAGCAAATCAGTGGGAAAAACATAGGGTGCCCTTAATTATGAAATATAGGCAAGAAAGAGAGAAACATTCCACAAAAGCAGTAAGTATACAAAATTAAGTAAATTTTGAGATAACCAAGAGTCACTTATATTTAAAAAATGATTACATTTTTATTATAGAATGCGAGTCAAAAAAAGCTGGACGAGATAAAATTGTTAAAAGAGAAGGAAAAAGAACTTCAAGAAGAATGTCGAAATAAGGACCAACAATATTCACAGTTGGTCACAGAAGTTCAGAAACTTCCTAAGGAAGTAAATAGATCTGCATACACTCAACGAATTTTAGAAATAATAAATAATGTCAGGAAACAGAGAGATGAGATAAGCAAGGTTCTGGCAGATACTCGTGAAATTCAAAAGGAAATCAATACGCTTACTGGGAGATTGGAGAGATCCTTTACCGTCGTAGACGAGCTAATATTCAGAGATGCAAGAACAAATGAAGCTTCGCGGAAGGCTTACAAATTATTAGCGACGTTACATTCAGACTGTAATGAACTCGTAAGTTTAGTCGAAGAAACAGGTGCGACAATACGAGAAATTAGAGATTTGGAAGAACAGGTAAGATGCAATGATAGAAGGATTAAGAAAAGTAGGTTTATGTAACGCAGAAAATTAACATTCAATTTAATATTTATTCAGATCGATTCCGAGTCCGCGAAAAACGTTGGTGCTAATTTGGAAAGAATAACTGCCGATTTAAAACAGATGAAACAAGAAACCGCCGCATTAACCGCACAACTCCAAAGTAAAGCCTCGTGATTGTTATGTACAATACAGCGTCATTTTGCGAATTGTAATGTTCAGGACCAGATGAGTTTAGTACAGGTATGAAGCTCATTTTTTATAATTATGTAGAGAATGAGAAATATTTAAACATATTGAATTCTCTATAAGATAATCTAAATTATAAAGACATTCTTTTACTGTTTTACAGAATATAAAACGAATACAATCGAATGCATTAAAGACCAAACATTTTTTAGCTACGCAATCAGCAGAACATAACGCGATATTGCCCATGAGAGTCTCCATGAATAACTAAGTTAACTGTTAAACAAACGTGCCTTGGCCTGAAGTCATCAGGCATTAGGCTTTTATTAGCCTCGGGCCAAGTGTATAAAACATGCTATTAACATCAATGCTCAAAGAGACATTATTTATTATAAAGCCTAATAATTTTTTAGCATCGAGTTCAACTTTCGTATCTCTCGCAACTTGAAGATCTGACTTGCGGCTGTAAATAAAATAACTGCTAAAACATCACTTTCAAACAAAGAACATGTACAAAATATAGAATGTGTATAAGGGTAAAATCAACGTTTAATATTTTATACATACTCTCCTTGAAAATTATTTTCATAAGATAAATATCTGAGACATACACACGCACACACACACATAATATCAAAGTACAACGAAATAACAGTTTCAATTTTTTTTGTTCTGATTCTCTATACACATGTGTATATGTTCTTTTTTTTATATACATTTTTATTTCTTACTTTTAATGTCCGGTGGTATGTAGGACTCTATAGTAATTAACTTTCTTAAATGTTTTGCGCTATTGTGCATGGCACGAATACGTTCATCTTGTTTGCGTTCTTTTTCTTGTATCTCTTCTATTTTCAATTCAATTTCTTCCTCTTTATCAAAGAATGTCAACAATTGTTCTCTCTTTTCTAAATCCTCCTTTATTTTCTTGATATTATTAATTCTTCTTTCTTTGTCTATTTCTTTCATTTGCGTTTCTAATACTGAAGTTCTTTTATGTTCCCAATCGAGATAAGCCTGAAAATTCAGAGTATATTTGGCAATTTTATAATTTACTGTATATATTGATATTAAGATATATTGATATATATTGATATTAATTAATTAAATTCCAAAAAAATTATTTTTATTAATATTTATTACCTGACATTGTTTAGAAATATCCTTTTCAGCTTCCTCGTTTATAGCCACTTTAATAAGATTCTCTATCGCTTCAATAAAGCTTTCTTTAAGATTTTGTTTCTCCTTCAATATAGATAATTGAACCTCCACAAGTTTGAACTTTTCAGCATCTTGATCTTGGAGTTCACTGTTATCTTTTGATATTAATTCAAATACTTCTTCGTAAACTATTTTGTCTTGCTTCATCTCTAACCATTTCTTTATTAAGTTTAATATATCGTCATATTTCTTATACAATATCAAGCCTCTTAACTGGCAAGATCTCCCTATAGCATCTGCTCTATGCTTCCCTTGAAAGTTTAGAGTTTTGCCGACAAGATCTTTCGGATCAATGAGATCAAAATGATCATCAAAGTATGGATTTCTTAGATATCTTACACGTACTTTCACTTCCTCTGAAGTATCTACTGGAAACTCAGGTTTCTTCCAATCATCAGGATTTTCTAGATATTTATGACATGCATATAAGCACAATGCATTAGTAATAGGATGATCTGCATCTTCCTGCAACATGACTAAACTTGCCACTTTTGCAGCAGAAGTATAATCCTTCCTATTTATGAAGTGATCCATGAGCATGTTGTAGTCAAAATAATCAGGAAAAATACCATAATTTAATCTGTCATTCAGCACTTCAAGCAATTCTTGGATATAATTGTGCTGCAAGAAATACCGTATTACGGCATGATGTGTGGAATCCAGTATATTCGTCGTTTCTACAGATTGCCTGAGATTATGCAAAATCTTTATCACCTCATTGGCATACAGATTGTCAGTGACACTATTGACAAAGATATCAACATCGACGGCGCTAACTTTGCCGACGCTCCCATACTTTTGTTCCAACTGGATGTACATCGACGTCGGTTCGATTTTCTGTAACAGCGGTGACTCCAGTCTACGACTCCACGCTTCCTCGCAACGATAAGCCTCCGACAAGAATAGCCTTCTTTGCACTCGCGTCACAAGATCCTTAGAACCACGATGAACCCGGCAGAGTCTGTGACCAAGTTTGAGCGTTTTTAGCATCTTGATTAATAGATTATTATCCGTATGTAATCACATAACCTTATTATGCAACAGCCGATCCTTTGCTGCCTCTTTCTTTGAATCCACGTTTTTTAGAATATTTTAAATTACCAGTTTTCTATTTAACCCAGATTTCTGTTACCTTTCACAGTTCACCATGCTCTCATGATAGAGGCATAGAAGTGATGTTATATGGTCCCTTTATATAAAGGGCCGTTTACAATGAAAATAAGTGTAAGGATAAATCCACACAACTCGTATAGTCGCATAAAGATATGCATAAAGAAAATTATCCAATTGCATTTCTCATATGATTGGATAATTTTCTTTATGCATATGTTTATGCAGCTATGCAAATTTATGTGGATATACCCTAATTGCAAGCTATAAGAAATTGATCAATTACAATAGATCAATATAATATATAATATAAATACAATAGATTGATCAATTACAATGTGAGGAGAATAATAGATTATGATTAATAATAGATTATGATTAATTCTTACAGCTGAAAACGTTCACGTATTTATTTTTTAATTTTTTTCACGTGCTCAGTCATCATTTGATTAGTGCCGCTATTTTTTATCAAGCCAATCAAAAATAAGACAAAATTAATCAGATTCTCACTTCTAGGGATATTAGCTGCAAAAGGATTGAAATTCGCAACATTGATTTAACAGCTGACTAAACTAGAGGAATTTTATATTTACGCTTCTCGCGTACTATTCTTTCATGAACTATCGAGCGGTCATGGACGCATTGGAGAATGATTCGAGTAATTGCCAATGGAATTTAGAAGTTCGAGTACAAATTTGCTTGCAAAGCTCAATTTTAGATGATTCTCGAACTGTGAAAATGTCTAATAGCTCCAAATACATTTCCGTCAATGGACTCTGTAAATGGATTCTATCAGTGTCATGAAGATGCAGTGCAATAATACTGCAAAATATATAGAATTTCGTAAATTAAGACAAGAGATGAATAATCGCGTGCGATTTATTATATATAGAGACTGTATGATTTTTGATGATGTCACGGTCAAATTACACAGTGTATTTAGGTATACAGAACACAGTGAATGGTTTACACAATTTCTAGAGGATGATGATGAGTTTTGTATATGTAGATTTACAAAGCCAGTTTGTCTGTGCAAAAAAGGACTCAATTCCTATCTTGTCTCAGCCTATATTTCGATGATATCAAAGTCATATGTTTATCGTAAGAGTGCTATGACAGTGTTGAAACATTTTCAGACAGCATGTGACAAACCATTTAAAGAAGAACATTCACTGATAATACTTGTAAGATTGAGAATACCAAAAAGTCAATTTCTGGATTATAAATGGCAAGTTTTGTAGTGATTTTACAACAAAACTAATTTAAACTATTATAGTCTTTTACATTTATCCTTTCTTAGGAGTGAAAAATTAATGCAAATGGTTGTAGAAAGACAAGAAGTTGATCATGCCATGTCTTGGCTATCCACGCTTGGAGGAGCATTTTCTGCATTGGGGGAAGAATTTGATCACTGCGTAAGTTATCGTTGGCTCTTCTGTCGAATTATGTAATATGCTTTCACTAATCTGACATATCTTACACAGGCTAAAATGGCAGGCAAAATCTCAGTGAAGCAATTTGAATTGGCAATGCGCCTTGACAATCCTCTCCTTGTTGCCCGTTGCAGATTGTATGCTGCCTTAAGTTTCATTCAACGTGGCAATTTTACCACACCTAAGTACATGATACGGAGAATTTATAATTTTGCACTCAAAGAAAAGGATGTTCGTCTCCAAAACATGTGTCAGGGTGTATGGTCTAAATTGCGATATAGTTACAAGCAATACAAACAGCAAAAGAAATCTTTGTTGAAATCTTTGCATATATCTTCAAAAATTTAGGAAATTTACTATCTGCATTTTGTAAGCATGTTGATAATATATTATTTTACAAACATGTTGGTCCTAAAATTTTTTTAACATTATCTTTTCGATTAAAAAATTAAATTATTGAATTTAAAGTAGTAGGAAAGTAATAAATTTAAAATGGCTATTGAGCAAAAATTTTTAATTATATCGGCAAGTTTTTATTAAATTTTACATATCTATCTATATTATTTCTTTCTATTGCTTTATTATATAATGTGTACATGTGCGAATTTTTAAAATTAACATGCACAGAAATACGAGCGCTTCTACTATATCATACAATACTGCATTTAAATGATAAAAAATTTATTAAATCGCAGGTATGTAATATGATGGGAAATTATTTGCAGTCTATTTTTGTTTATAAGAGATATAGTTTTTCACGCATGTTAAAAACGAAGTACTGAAACAACATTTAATTATTCATAATGGTAAATTATGTTAAAAACAGATATATTATTGCCTACAGATAAAGTATGCGATGCAACGTAATATACTTCCGTTTTTATCGGAAACTGTTTTTTAACGCACGCGTTAAACGATATTTATTTCGTGATTTCAAATATGGTAACTCATGTATTCAGTCTTGATGATTTAACTAAACGTTGCCCTCGTATACTGTAATAAACAAAATGGACTTAATACAAAGCCACTTATCAATACTGCTGCATTCTCTTGTATAAGATATAAAATATTGGTATATTTGTACAATCACTGCCCCCGGAATTTTTATTAAATATTTCGTTTTCTCGAGTTATACTTGAAATGTTTTGTGTTTGTAAAATAAAACGGCTTGCCATCGCATTTAGTTAAATCACTTTAACATCAATGAGCGAGCGTGCCCATAGGATCCCAAGCGGGTAAAACGATTGGCTCCTGATTGAATACAGCCATCACGTCCGCAGGTACGTATTTTTTATCTACGACCGCCTCAAAGACAAAATTAGCAAACCACTCGGTTGTCACAACCTGGTAACCCTTTTGACCATGATCCTCACCCCATGAATTCTCTATCCGGAACTTCTTTATTTTACCTTCTCTCTAAAACAGAATAATATTCATATATAGATAAATCATTGCAACATTGAACAGAAAAGGTAACTTTGCAACTATTATAAGATTCTTTAATATGATTGGTTTATACATTTAGATTCAGTAAGAAACTAATGCCAAGACCAATCATATTAAAGAATTTTACAACAGTTATAAAATTGTTTTCTTTTTGCTGAATATAACTATTAATAAATATTGTTTAAATTTGATATATTCGGTAATAGAAAAAATATTGAAAAATATTTACATCTATTGAAACAGCCGTAAATGCCATTGCGTGTACCATCATAGAATCTCCATAGAGCAATCTGTCGGCTTTAGAAAGCCCGAGGTGAATGTCGGTGCCGAACATTAGTTCGAAATTGTAAGTGTTTATATCGTGAATACCATGTTTATCTATTAATCTTTTGTTAACATCACAACCGAACCAAACAGGCTCATTATCTTTGATACTCTCGGCGCACAGTTTCATCAATAATTCTACTGGCTGATTATTGTAGCGAGTAGTTTTCCCACTCACGACATTTCCCAGGCAATCTACAGTATAGAGTTTCCCATAAGGATTGCCCGGTCGTGGATCGGTTACCAGGCATACTTTATCGTTCACATTGTAATACGGTTTCACGCAATTCTCGTAAAACTCTAGTGGCGTGATCGGGCCCACGCAGTTGTAATTCTTCGACTTGTCGTAATATTCCCATGTAATCTTCTCAGAAGGTACACCCAAACAGATGCCGATTATTCGATAGATCACCATCATCTGCTCATTTATTCGTGTCTTCAATTCGTCATCAGACGCACCATTGTCGATCATGTCTCGCAGAGCCTTGGCATATTCTCTTAGTTTGCTTTTCAGTAGGCTATTCATACGAACGCTGGATTCGCAGCTGTATGATTCCGGGAAACACGTTTTCGGCACGACACCGTGTCTAGTTATCAGATTCACAATCATGTCCCATTGGCCACCATCGCAGGTAGGATCGGTCAACAGGAAGTTGACTAAACGGCCCTCGACCGCCTCGCCGCGCTTCGCAGTGTTTACGATATTGTGCAGGAAGTAATTGCAACGTTCTACCTGCAAGAGAAATACAGCTGGCTATGTAATGTCATAATAATAAAATGTTTTTGTTTTTTACATACAATTATATTTTAAAAAATTTTACTAAAAATTCATAGAAAAATATAAGACAGTAAAATGTAAACAGCAAGCAAATTAGTCAATTATGATAGAAAATGTAAGACAGTAACTTTACATTCTCTAATATGATTACTTTGTTGTCTAATGTGATTACTACTTATATCTTGCTGCCTTATGATATTTGTACAGATAATTTACTTTTATGGATTATTTTTTTAGAGCAATATTGCATAGTAAGCAGTCATACATACACTTCTATTGTGATTAATTTTTTATAACTTACTACACTGTATTAGTCTCATTGTAGAGGCCTTTTACAGATAAAGAATCAATAGACATTGATAATAAACAAGATTAAACTGTAAAAATATTGTTACTAATGTAATATTTATAAAGATTATGTATGTAATATTTATAAAGATAATTCACTAACACAGATAAAGAATTAGTAGATATTAGCAAAATTAAATTACTGTTTGTCTTTTGAACTCCTTTGTCTTATACACAACCAGTGCAGCACTAACACTACTATTCAGATTCTCCAATCACATTAAATTGATAAATAAATTTAAAATGTGTAAAATATTAAAGTAATTCAAATTAGTTATTATTTACAAAAAAAATATAAATAAATTATAGTTACAGCTGGAAAAAAAAGACGAAATTAACTTAAAATTACTAAAAAAAGGTCTAACTCTAATTTAATTCAAATTTAGTACAAATAATTAGTTACTTCCCAACCTCGTATGTCATGTTCGTATACCTTATCCCAGAAAAATAGGTAAGCTTGACTAAACTCAAACTCGTCTAGATTATGCTGTTTCATGAAGCTAGTTCTCATGACGTTTAAGATGGCAAACAGCCAACATCTTCCAGAGTTCTTCTGATTAGTTACAGGCTTGCCTTCAGTCTCAATCTTATGAGTGAAGACATGGTGGGTCTCCTCTAGAATCTTTCTCGAAGCACAAGCCTCGATAGGATTCGTTTTCGTACAGACATTCTGTGCCAATACGTTGCGACTATCGGCATAAAACTTTACACGTAGCTGATCAAGAATCTCGGGAGTTAATGGACCTAAAAAAGAAGAGCAACGTTAAATTTAATCAAAATTCTACATGATTTATTTACTTCAATCCGTGCATTGTTATATTGTTTGTCGCGTAATACGAGGAAAGAACGCTATCACTATCGTCGCGTCAATAAACATTCGATTTGAAACAAAGATGCCAACATTCGCGCAATTCGATACGGTAGAAAAGGGATTCGCAAGTGGCGATTTTGAAATTATTAATAACATTCGAGGGTGTGGCAAGTCGCGAGAGAAAAAAATCGGGCATATTTGGAAAGGTTAAGGCTGGTCAATTACATCCTCACGTCTATCGATTCATCGCGTCTAATCCCAAGTAATTTTTTACGCGGGCCAGATGTTTTTCTACGCGCCTCAAACATTTCCATCGCAGCGGTGACATTTTTCCTAATCTACATAGCGTGTACATGCGTAACTTACAAACAACCATCGTAACGGATGCGGCAAGCAAACCCAGGCGACGCCAAAAACAGCCAAGTCAATGATCGCGTTGTGGCTCCAACGCCTCCAACTGCGTTCGAGCTTCAGGCTGCGTTTATGGAAACGGCGCACCTCGCTTTTATCCCGTGATCGATAGACAAAGCAAGATCTATCTCGCTCTATCTCGCTCGCTCCCTCTCCTCTGTGTTCTGCAGCTGTCCGTATCGGGTGGCCAAAACACGCGATCCATGATTTTTCATTCCGGGGGTTCGGGGATCTTTTCGAGTTACGTAAGACCTTCCCATAGTTTCTTTAGACGCATTCCGTGGGATAAATAAACATTTTCGAAATTCAAAAAAAATTTTATAAAACATAACAGGTCGTAAAAAAATTTCTTATCCGCCTTTTATCATTTTTACATCTTTTCAATTTTTTCATTTGATGTTTTAATTTTGAACTTTTTCAAGCAAAATCGATTTTATAGAAATAAAATTGCAAAATTCATGTTGATTGAGTATTCTTTCTGTATTTACATATTCAATATATTTAAAGAGTTAGTTTTTTTACATTTACATATATTATTAAATTTCATTAAAATTAGATTGTTAGAAAATGAATGATGAATGCTAGATATCTTCTTATGTATGAGATTACAGGGTTTTTTTCAGAGAAAATATATACATTATAATTTTATTAAAACTGTCTGTGAAATTAGTTTCCGAGTTATCACAAAATTCACACTTAGATCAATCATTGATTGAAGCTATATTATCATCATCTAATAATTGTTATATATTTATCTAACTAATCATCGCTTATAATTATTAAATCATCCTTCGTTAAAGAATCAGATTTCTACATTGGGTGTGGATGGCTCTGCTTTTGATTCTAAGGAGAATGGTGGAATTCTGCAATCAAACGCATATCCATCTTCTCTTTCCATCCTAAATGTTCCCCTGAAAACAAAATCATTGAGAACAATTAAATAAATAATGCCTTTTTTTATTTACAAGAAATTAAGGTTGCATTTTTGTTGTAGAAGATACAATCGACAAGAGTATCATTCTATTTTTATTATTCATTGATTGTCAATAATTCATAGAAGAATATTTGTATCGACTATGTCTTCTAAAAGCAAAGCAGTTAAATAATTGTACTTACCACATATGACCGCTAGGAGCTTGCAAACTCACATGACTGCTATATTGAAAAGCAGGTAAAGCTTTCGATAGCACAGGTTCCTGACCCACTACACCTCTTCCTCTAACAGTTTCCAATGTACCTGACAAGCTAAATATTCTCCAATGCCTTTCACGCAATTGTACGCTCAACTCACCCAAGTTTTCTAGTCGGATGCAATAACGCCACTATAAACCAGAAGATGTAACGAAGAATTAACGTTTAACTCAATTCCCTTTTCTAATGGAATAAGACATCTGACTTTGTTATATCAACTCACCCAATATACAGAAGTAGTTTGACTCTCTCTGCAACCCATGTAGAACGGTATAACGGTAATGCGAATATTCTCGGTCGTTTCCTTATGTACATCTGACAACTCAAGCCACGGATGATTCTTTTTCTGCCACGTGCGAAGGGTCTCCTGCGCCATAAAGCATGGCTCCTTGTCTGGATGATAAGTCAAAAATTTATCGAACAGTTCATGCTGCAGCGCCGCTTTCTCATTTGTGGTATATGGCAGTACATCCTCGTGAGCGACATAATCTAATCCAGGAATTGCGTACAAGCTGCGACTGCTCTCATGATTGCCCAAAAAAGTAACTGCCTCTGTTTGAGCACGCTGCAAAATATATATATATATATGTGTATATATATATTAGACACATGTTAACCACAGTATATTATACAATCTTTATATCAGTGTTAGAATGCAATAACATTTTCTTTCTCACTTTTGTGAAATTCTTCAAACATATATTTATTTCATTTTACGAGCATTCAATCTGAAAACAGATAGGATCTATTTTCTATAACTGAATTTAATGTACACTTTTAGAATTTACAGTGAAATAAATATATGAATGATATTACTTGGCAACAATGAGAAAGAAAGTGCAGTCTAGTGCAAAAATAAAAAATAGATCTATAGTTTCTGAATGTTGCTTACTATATAAGGACAATCACGTTGATCAATTAAAACTTGATAAAATGTATGTGTTCTGCCTTTTACTTCTTTCTCGCCGACACTATTAAAATTGCTGTTATCCTTTCTGTAATTAAATGTACAAATTATCAGTGCACAATATTTATATACAAATAGATATATTTATCCATATAACTATAAATAACATACTCATCCTTCTTATTAGATATATCTCTGTCATATACTCTTGCCAACCATGGAAATAGAATGACACCTCGGTAACCAAAGACTCTGTGTAAAATCAATTGACCTGTCTCATATTTTCCCTGTAACTTTGGTGTTTCTAATTTGCCGACTTCAGCTAATCTATAAAAACATTTTTTTATTGTAAATATTATATAATTAAATATTATGATGTCATAAGTGTCTGAAGCTCATGCAATTTTTCATTATAATTTCTGGTATTTAATCAATATTAATTTTTAACTGAGAAAAAAATTATAAAAGATATCACAATGCAAGACACTTAGAGGAATCGACACTAGGAACAAAGAATAAAAAGAGAGCAATAATTATGTCCAGAGGACATAATATAATTTTCAATTTAGATATTGTTAATGATTGTGAACGCAATAACAGTTAATTAACTATGACAAAGAGGTTTTTCACAATAAACAATTACTCAAGTTCTTAAAGGTTGTTCCATCTTCAGATAAACTATATGATAATTTATTTATTGGATAAAGAGTAAAAGAATAAGAGCATAAGAGAGTAAGACAGTGAGCTTTATTGAAAAGTGGAACAACCCAATCTAAGTCAAGAAATTGCCTAATCATAATCAATTATTTTTCTCATATTCAACTATGATTGGTTAATTTCTTATGGCTTGCTTAAGACTTCAAGTTTAAGTAATGGTTTATTGTAAAAAACTTCTAATAATAAAAACCAAACAGCATCATATGTATATATAAATAACCAATAATTGTTATAAATCAAAAGGCAATATTCTGTTGCAATTTATTTTCAAATCTAAAAACTGATTTAACTGAGGAATAACTGCACCTAATTTTTTATGCTGTTATTTTTCTAAATTACTAATAATAAACTTTGATTCCTTTGATTCATAAACAACCTTTTTTGTTTAAGCTTATCAGAAGGCACTCATGGATGCAAATTTAATAATAAATTTGGTCACTTGCTTTATACTAGATTAGTACATAAAAGCTGCTGTAAAAATTGACAAGGTTAAATGTAAAAACATATGAATATTTTAAACGATTAAATACCAAAAATAACATTGTCATATTCATGATGTAAAAATATAAGGTGTTATTGCGCACAATAATGATAGCAATACTGGAAACAACCAATCAAATTTTGACCACAATTCACTCTCCTACTGCATATTCTCAGAAATTATACACCTTGTCTTCTTACCATATATTATTTCATTGTCAAAATTGATTATGGATGCTTTCCATTTTGTAACATAAGTCAATCCAAGTTATTCTATCTTTGTTATTCTCTGCATGACAAGGAATTAAATGGAAAACACTATATTATGCCATTCCATTTAAATACTTTATATAAAGCAGTCTTAGTGAACTGATCTAGAGTACCTTCCATTCAGTAATATATAATAAATCAACACAAATGTTCTATTTTTCTTTGTATTCCATAAGTAATGAAGAATGATAGTTGTCAATTTACTTCACTAAATGAAGATATCCTAATATAGTGCGAGTGACTGAATTCACTATGAATTTATTCTTTTCTGTACTATCCATTGAAACAAGTTGATTTGTGTTTGTTAGTATTTCTTATTTAGTTTAATTCCAACTTAACATGTAACATAAATATAGATACTTTTTATATTTCAATAACGCAAATTATTTTAATGAATAGCAAATTCAATTGAATGTACTATGATTTACTAGTATATTGAAGCTGTTATACATTGGCTTAATATGAATATAAAAGTAAAATGTAAATATTTTATAATTATAAAGTACATATTTTATTTAACAATAAAATATATTAAAGATTTCGCTCATTTCTGTACTTATATCAAATACATATCCTTACATCAATTTGTATATGGCTTTAATATGCATTTACAGAGTGTCCAATCAAAATCTATAAATTGTAACAATACTTTTTCCCCCTCTTTCTCTCTTCTAAACTAATTCTACATGTAAACAGGGCAAGCAAAAACTGATCTGCAACAATTGACGTCATAGTGAAGTCTCCATTCAAAAATGAAGTTCTCTCTTTGTCAATAATTAATCGTAACATAGGATAATTCGAATCATTAAATAATCTATAATTTGTTGACTTTGTATGTACCTGATGCATCGCACGTATTGCAGACGTATTATGGGTGCCTTGAGAAACGATCGTTTCAGGTTACAGCCAACGAGATTCCGCACGAATTCCATGCTTGCCCGAGAATTATCTCCAACACCTGATGAGATTTACGTCGCAGGATGGAAAACTGCGGTCGACGGTTGCTGTGTTGACATCTCTACTGATTTTTAGGGATCATTTCAGAATATACTGAAGGTTATATTGTTTATATCGCCGACGAGACGGTGATGGCAGAAGGAGGAGGGAGGAGGGGAAAGTAATGAAAAAAATTTTGTTTAATCAGATGTGAGAGAAAGAAGAGTTTGAATATGTTGCATCGAATATATACATTGTTTCCAACAAGACATTTTGAGCCGGTTTCACCAACGCCAATTAGTAAAATTGGTCAATTTAACTAAATAGCGAATACGATTGGTCAGTTTCACGCTGATCAAGTAATTGGCATTGGTAAAACTGGCCTTCTGTATTTTTAATTTAAATCATTTAATTTATATATATAATCATTAAATAATTTAAATTTAAATAAAAATCTCACTAAATAATCGTACCAAATTAATTTAGATTTGTTCAAGTTGTATGCATTTTTTGCACACAAAATTGTTTTTTTTCTAACTTGTAAGTGCAACATCTTTTTTTTAGAAATTTCAAGCAACGTGAACACATTTTTTAATATTAATCGCGTTCAGTAGATTTAGGATGCGGTCCTACTTGGCGCT